TAGGACTGGCATTCGACTCCCCAGTGGATCAACAGCAGAACAAGCATGTTGTTCTATACTCCAGAATTATGTAATCTAGCAATAAGTCATGATGGGGATGGGGGCGATGAGCATATAGCTGATAGGGTAGATTTTTAATGTATTGCAAGGGTATATTACTGTTTTCTTAAGTTAATTTAATTAATGTATTCAATTCTAATTTAATAGCATACTAAGCGGTGATGTCACGTCTTGTCGTGGGGCGGAGATGACATTGACATATGGGCATGTATTATGTGGCCCCTTATAGTATTTAGTTAGTATAATTAGTTTAAAATTAATTTTTTATTTGTGTTGGGGAAATATAGATAAGCCCATCCGAGCCCAAAAACCTAATGGGCTTGGAGCCCATTAGTGGCTCGTTGACACTTGACCTGGGAGGCATCAACGGTAAAGGGGCGCATGGCGACAAAATAGACTCACGGACAAGGAAGTACGGCGGAGGAGGGTCAGAAAAGCACCACGTAGGTTGATGGTCCCCCCATGCGCCCTGACACCGAAGTCGGACGACGCGCCACGTGTAGGCGCTCGGACGTTGGACCAGACCAGGCATTTAATGCTTGGCTGACGTAAGGCTTGGTGGCAGGAGTTGGTCGGAGCCTGTTCGAGGACCTCGAGTAGTATAAATAGCACTCGGTAGGTGGCATTTACGAAGGGGGGTTTCTCTCACTAAAGTTCTACTTCCCGACTTATCTCTCTAGAATTAGCACTGACTTGATCGTTGGAGTGCTAACGAGTGGCATCAGCCCTCTAAGCGTTAGTTTTGCAGGGTCTGAGCGCCTGTGGTGTAGCGGTTAGGGTGCGCTTGGAAGAGTGAAGTATCTGGGCTTCAACAATTGGCGCGCCAGATAGGGGGCGCATAGCCTGAGAGGATATAGGAAGATGGAAGACTTGAATGAAGGAAACGCGGGCGTGGACGATGTGAGAACGGAGGACTCCAGTCATGAGGGGAGCGGGCAACGGTCTAGCCCAGTGGTGATCATGGAGGTAGAGGAAAAAATCCGTGAGCGCCCATCTTTTGAGAGTGACTCATTGTCTAAGCGGGAGTTGTTTAAGATCATCGCAGACCAGGACAAGGCAATAGCCATGCTTCGGAGGGAATTGGAAGGAGGAAGGAGCGCCGATACAAGAGAGTACAGCCCCCCGGTAAGGAAGCGTGACAGGCTCGTGGATGATTCGGACGTTAGTGAGTACGGGCGCCCATACTATGAAGGGCCGCATGCGGAAGTTACACCACCTAGGCGCCCGGGTGTGTGGAGAGCGCCCGGAGAGTTGGCCGGGTCGGGGCCGGAGGAGCAAAACCCATGGACGCCTAGACGCCAGACCAGGCGCTTTGGGATCAGGCAACCCCTGGCGCAAAGCGTCCTGATGGAACCCGCAGGAACTACCCTCCCGCCTCTGACCAGCTATGATGGGGTCACTGACCCGGAGGATCATTTGAATAGCTATTTTACGAAGATGCAGGTGTATAACAGCACGGACGCCACGCTATGCAAGGTGTTCCCCTCAACGTTCGCGGGAGTAGTTTTGGACTGGTACCATCAATTAGAGGAGGGACGCATTGAGTGCTTTGAACAGTTCGCGGAATTGTTCTTGTCCAAATTTGCGAGCCGAAAGCGTCGGACACTAACTATAGGCGCTTTGTTTAAAATCAAGCAGAAGGACGGGGAGGCGCTTAGAGAGTTCTATGACCGGTGGATTTCGGTCGCCATGGCTGTGAAGGATGTGCAACCGCCCGTCCTAGGCGTGTGTCTGGAGGAGTGCACGAACAGTGAGGAGTTATGTCGGGTGCTGTCCAAGAGGGCTGTAGTTTCAACATAAGACTTGGATCGAAGGGTTCAGAAGGTGATTGCCTTGGAGGAGACGTTGGCTGCAAGAAGAGCAGAGAAGAGGCGTATGGGTAGGGAAGAGATCGAAGGGCGCCAGGCTCCCATGCCATTCATTATGAACAACGCTCCGCAGAGGAGAATGGAGAGTCAGCGCCCCATGACCAGGAGTGCGGGAAATTTTACGGAGTACAACGATTCCTTGAAGAACATTCTGCAGTACGTGAAGGATAAAGGGTACCATGTGCGTTGGCCGGGACCCATGCGTGGGCAGCCAAATGAGCGAAATCTTGATCGATACTGCGACTTCCATCGGGATAAAGGGCACCATACGGCCGATTGTTACCAACTAAAATCGGAACTACAGACGCTAGCCGATCGAGGTATGCTCAACGACATTGTAAGAAAAACAGATGAGCGGACTCACCGTGCTTATGTCACAAGGGAAACAAGGCTGGCGCCTGTTGTACCCACTACGCCGAGGGCGCCCATCCTCCCCACAGTGCAACAGGCGCCTGAGGTCCACCCGCCCCCACTTGAGATACCCCCGCCTCCGTTTGAGGTGAATCAAGAAGGAGAACCCAGCCGGGTTACACTCACAGTAGAATCCATAACTGGTACCATCGACTTGCGAGATAAGTTGGATCGTTCTAGGCGCCTCAGGACCGCGTCTGTGGAAGCAAAGGCGGCGGTCCAAATATGCTTTAATCAGGAGGCGGATGAGGCCTGTCAAGTACCTTCGGAGGAGGCTTTGGAGATACAAGGAATCATTGCAGGGTGCAAGGTCAAAAGGATGTTGGTAGATACGGGCAGCTCGATGGATGTCTTGTTTAAAAGCACATTTGAGCGCATGCAATTGGCGCCGGAGTTGGTAAGCCCCTCTGATTCAGTGCTGATAGGGTTCTCGGGGGCGCCTGCCCATGTGATAGGGCGTGTGCGCCTCCCGGTTACGTTGGGTGATGGGGCGCATCGAGTAACACATGCAGTGGAGTTTGGGATAGTGGATTGCCCCTCGCCGTACAATGTCATACTAGGAAGGCCCCTCTTGGCGTTGTTCAATGGGGTGGCCTCAACTTGCCACCAAACGTTGAAGTTTGTGGCCCCACAAGGCATAGGAATCTCAAGAGGAGAAAGCGCCCCCCGCTACGCACGGGAGGAAGAACGGAAAAGGAAAGGCGCCCGGAGGCACAGGGTGAACAACATAGACATTCGCCCAGAGGAAGCGCCTAGAGCAGAGCCTGTGGATGATGAGTTCAGTGTGTCGATCGAAGAAGGGCGCCCAGACCGACAGGTACGAGTATCAGCACAGGCGCCGGAACACATGAGGGCGCCCTTGGTCAATTTATTAAGAGAATTCGGGGAACTTTTTGCGTGGAGCCCCCAGGACATGCCGGGAGTGTCTCCAGATGTGGCGGCGCATCGATTGGCCTTCGAAGAGGGTAAGAGACCTGTCCAACAGAAGCGAAGAAATTTGACTCAAGAGAAGGAGGAAGCCCTGCGGAAAGAGGTCGATAAGTTGCTCGAGGCAGGATTTGTTGAGGAGGCCAGGTATATCACTTGGCTGTCGAACATCGTGTTTGTCCCAAAGCCGTCGGGGGATTGGAGGATGTGCGTGGACTTTACCAACCTTAATCGCGCGTGCCCAACGGACGCCTACCCAATGCCCCGCATTGATCTACTCGTGGACGCCACGGCCTACCATGAGGCGCTTAGCTTCCTTAACATGTTTTCAGGGTATCATCAAATTCCCATGGTGGAGGAGGATAGAGCAAAGACCGCCTTTATGACCCCTTTTGGCAACTTCTGTTACAAGGTAATGGCATTTGGATGTTTTATCAAAGTATAATTGTTCAATGATATTACGTAATGAGCAAATATGAAATGGTCAAATCTTCTCCTACAGTGGAGTGATACAACATTATGCATTGTACACTAAATCTATACTTTTATGTTATGGTGGATTGGATTCATGGATTGGTTCAAAAGGATTGGTGGATTGGATTCAAGTGAAATCTAAACATTGGACCAATATGTAAATTTTAAAAATTGTTGGTACAAAAATCTTATAAAATTTAGATACCAAAGTATAATTGTTCAATGATATTACATTAAAATTAATTTTGGGGTATAAAAATATTAGATATACATCATAGTGACTAAGTTGTGAATTAATAAAATTTAGGACATTAAAATGTTACTTCTTAGGCAACAGTAACATTACTTTAGATTTATATATATTAATATTATTATTATTATTATTATATCCTTATTTTTTGTTAAAATAAATTCCTATGTATAGAGGCAAATATATGTATCTTTAAAGCCAATTATATTTCCATACAAAAGTATATTATGCGTTTTCAAAAGGATGAACTGAAATAAACTTATTTGCCTCAAAAGTATCATTAGATTAAAAAAAATATTTGTCTCGAATTTCATTATTGGAATCAGATACTATTTGCATCTACATTTGTCTCCAAAAGGAATTCGAGACAGAGGCAAAAGATTCAAATAACATATTTGCATCGAAAGACATTTAGAAACAAATAAGTGACATTTATATGCAAATAAACTCTGTCTGTAAAACCTAGATTCCTTATAGTGTACCAAAGTCAACCTGGGGTGTTTTTCCAGTTTGTATGTTTTGTCGGTCTAGTTTGTTTTTTTTCCCCCACCATGTTCGTAATGTTTGTATGTCTAAAAAACAACCGGGTTGACTTTGGGAGGGAACCCTTCTATATAGGGATGGAGCCTCCAAAGTCAACCTGGTTGGTTTTTCTTTTTGTATGATTTGTATTGTTTATCTGTGTAGTTTATATTGTTTCTACAGTTCATATGTTTGTAATATTTGTAAGGGTTAATACCTTAGTTTGGCCCGAACTATATACAAACTTTCTACTTTGGCCCGTGGTATCGGAAATTGCTATTCTGTCCTGAACTATGTAGCATACTTTCTTATTTGGCCCAAAGCCAGGTTTGACCATCAAATTAGACGGTCAAACCTGTTGATCGTTAGTCAATGTCCACCTCACCCGCCACGTCAGCTATCAGGAAATAAAAAATTATTTTTTTAAATTTCCGAATTTTGTTTACTTTCAGTTAATAAAAATAATAAACCAAACAAATTAATTAAAGAAAAAAAAGCCCCATTTATACCCTTCCTGATTTCTTCCGCAAAACCCTATCCCTTCTCCGACGAGATAAGCTCAGCCTGGCGTCGCTCCCCACGTTGCAATCGATCGAAATCTGGGGGGCCCTGCCGCCAATATGCCTTTCGTCGTGTAAACCCGGTTCCCGAACACTTGCTCCCTCCTCAAAACCAGCGATTGGCTCGCCCTCTCCTGTCGCCGCCGCCACGCTTTTGTCTTCCCGCATGCTTCTCTGGCCAACTCCCGGACGAGGAAGACGATTTCCCGGTCGGCCACGACGACGATGTAGAACCGGGACTGGGGCTCCGGCCCAGATCCGAACTTGGCCCGGGACAGGTCCCAAAAGATGTGGAACCTCGCGGCGGCTCCATCAAGATAGTGAAGCCCCTTGGAGCCGTGCTTCTTCCAGAAGACGAAGGGCAAGGGCTTGATCTGGAGGTGGAAGGAGATGGCGGAGCGGTGGGGGATGGAGTGAGTGAGGGAGAGGGGGGAGCACGGGCCGCCGTCGTGGTGGTGGTCGATGGGGAGGAGCTCGAGGTGGAGGGAGTGGCCGAGGAAAGTGCGGGACCAGGTGAGGGAGAAGACGCCAAGCTCGGTCTGGTAGAAGCAGGTGGTGAGGTTGGGCTTGCTGGAGAGAGGCAGAGGCGGGGGTGGCGGGGATCGCGGGCGGTGGTGGGAGTCGGAGGCGGCGGAGGGGCGGAAGCAGGAGGGGAAAGGGGAAGATTGAGACATTGGTTTGGTTGGTGTTGGGAATGGGGACTGGATTTTTCCGCTGATTCCGGAAGAAGCAAAAATTTGATGAATTAATTGGGCTTTTTTCCTTTAATTAATTTGTTTGGTTTATTATTTTTATTAACTTAAAGTAAACAAAATTCGAAAATTTAAAAAAAAAAAATTATTTCCTGATAGCTGACGTGGCGGGTGAGGTGGACATTGACTAACGGTCAACAGTTTTTACCCTATAATTTGATGGTCAAACCCGGCTCCAGACCAAATAAGAAAGCATGCTAAATAGTTCAGGTCATAATATCAATTTTCGATACCACGGGCCAAAGTAGAAAGTTTATCTATAGTTCGGGCCAAACTAAGGAATTAAGCCTATTTGTAAATCTGTTTGTATGTTCTGTCGTTCTAGTTTGTACTGTTTGTAAATCCGGTTTGTTTTTTTGATAATGGTGAAAATTTATTACGAAAAAATGGGGAAAACAGGGTAACAAAACAAAGCAGAGCAAATAAAAACGAAGAAGGCTAAAAGTTCAACAAGATTGAGCCGCCTGCAAGAGTCAAAGCAAAAGAGATGAAAGAAGCAAAATGCAAGAAAGCATCGAAAGCAAAAGAAACACAATTAAATGGACTAAACCATTCCTAATTTCCTACTGTGGAAGACAAAAGGACAGAAAAACAAAAGACCAGACAAAAGCAAAATCAAAGTCGAAGCAGTCCAGAAACTGGGACCCCTGCTGAAAATAGTTTAGTTGTCCGTGTAAACGGCTCTTCTCATCTGATCATTGAGCCATTGGCGTCCCTCTTCTTTAGTGATTTTGCCCATTGCCACAGGCCATTCAAGCATAGATTTGAAAACTTTTCGAGCGACGGTTGCTGGTCCCTGTCTTGAGTCTTGAAATACTCGTCAGCTTCTCTCTAGCCATAACTGCCAGCAAACGACATGAAGTGCGCAGAAGTTTATCCATTCATCCGGGTTGTCAAGGGATCTTGATTGCCATTCACTGATTGTCGAGATAATATCCTCCTTGGTGTTCTCGCTCGGACAAGCATCTCTGCATCTTTGCCAGACTTCCTTCCCAAAATCGCACTTAATGAAGATGTGGTCAGCTGATTTCATAATATCCAAATTACCCTTCCCAGTAATTAAAAATCTCTTCCACTTTTTAACCATTAGATTGAAGTGTCTAGATCTAATGGCTAGAAGGAACTTGTTAGGAACGGAATAACAACAAGAACAAGGTTACCGAATATGGAGCTGAGTCGCGGACTAGGTCACTTTCTTTAAGACGTTCGCGGCACTGCCCTCGATGCGCATGACATACTATCAACCGGTCGTCTCCAAGATAAAACAGCTCCTCGAATGCTCGACGGTTTTGAGCAAAAACCGGAGCTCTTTGAACACTCTCTCTATTGTGTTTATACTCGTTGTAGTGTGTTTAGAGGGGCTGGGGAGGCGACTATTTATAGGAGCCAAACCCTAGGAATATACCCTCTAACTTGAGGAATGAGTCGGATTAATTAAGGAAGATAATTACTTCCTTAATTAAACCCGTCTGTAAGATAATTCCTGGCAGGATTATCCTTTGAATATTTCTTCGAATAACCGATTAATAATTAATTATCTAATAATTGATTTCGTTCGAAATTTCTCCAAAAAATATATAGTCTCAAGTGAAATAACCAACCGAACGACCGGTCGGTTGGACAGACGGTGCGCGTGCGCGTGTGTGTGGTGGTCCGTTAGGTCCTCCCACAAAAGTGGGTCACCCCAAGGGGCATAATGCCCTTAGGAGAGAGGCTCCTATCTTTATACACATTTCACCAAGTAAAACTAACAATGTGGTAGTTTTTCCACTTGAGACTCTATAGCTTTCAAGGCTATTCATTTATTTCCAACAATTCCCCACTTGAATAGTTTTGAAACTATCTCTGAGCATCAACAATTCCATAAGATCGGGCATAAGATAAGGTATCGTGAAGATTTGAACCTTAGCGTAGCGGTTACACTTCCGATTTCATAAGGGTGACTCGTAGTCTTGAACCCTATCTCAGACAATGTAGCACACCGGATCCTTTCATTGAGTGATGTTTTCTTCTTAGCCCGTGCGTTTATGGCCATGCATGTTATCCTGGTTTAGTGAACGCTCTAGCAACTTTGTGCCTCCAAAGTTCCATAGGGAGCGGCCCCACTCCCACATTCACATAGGTGAGTCTATCAGGAGTACCCCCAAAGTAAAGTACTCTACCCCACATAGGGTATAGATCTCATTAAGAGTTATTAACTCAACCTCCATTGCTTTGGGATTCATGCTTCACTATGCATGAACTTTTCGCATACTACTCATGACTTGTTATTACCCATTGAACGCATTTCTTGGGATCTCCAGTCTATTGGGTCGGGTTACCATCACTTGTAGTCTGTGGTTTGGTAGGCATAAGTTCCATACCCTATGCGGTATTTTGGACTTTCTCTCTAGATAATCCTTTTGCCAAAGGATCAACTAGATTCTGTTCGGATCTTATATGATCCACCCTCACTGCTCCTATCGTTAGGAGTTCTCTTACAGTACTGTGCTTATGGCGAATCTTTCATTTCTTTCCATTATAGAACCGGTTCTCAATTTTAGCGATAGTTGCGGTACTATCACAATGGATCAATACCGGAGGGACCGGCCTTTCCCATAAGGGAATCTCCGACAACAATCCTCTCAACCAACTTGCTTCTTCACTAGTCGTTGCTAGTGCTATCATCTCTGATTCCATAGTTGATTGAGCTATGATTGTTTGTTTCTTTGACTTCCAAGACACAGCTCCATTAGCGATGTTAAAAACATACCCGTTGGTTGCCTTGGAGTCACCTGATAGAGTATTCCAATCCGCATCACTATACCCTTCTAGTACAACAGGAAACCTTTGATAGTGTATACCAAGGTTTGTTTTTCTCTTGAGGTATCTCATGACCCTCTCTATAGCATTCCAATGCTCTCTATTAGGACAGCTGTTAAACCTGCCAAGCAATCCCACGACATATGCAATGTCTGGTCGAGTGTAATCCGCAGCATAACGGAGACTGCCAATGATGCTAGCATATTCTGATTGTCTTACACTGTCTCTAGTGTTCTTAAATAGCTTTACACTAGCATCATACGGAGTACACGCAGGTTTACAGTCGAAATAGTTATATTTCTTCAAGATCTTCTATATGTAGCTAGATTGATCTAGAGAATAACCATTTGATGTTCTAGTTATCTGGATTCCAAGCATAAACTTTGCTTCTCCCAGATCTTTCACCTCAAAGATCTCTTTCAACATGGCTTTTGCTTCATTGACCACGTGAATATTGTTAGCAGGCGTCGAGCGCGAGATGCCTCCTTCTCCTCCAATCTTTGATCTCCCCTGAAAACCCTAACTCTACCTTCTGCTAAGAACAAGATCAATCAAACTGACAACAAATGAAAAAAACGAAAATATAAAATAATCACAGATAGGATAATGTAACTGATCTATGAGTTCCGGTTGGGCCCAAATACTCAAGCCCAATTTCTTCAAGTCTGTAGATTTGGCCTGTTGAAATAGCTTAAGCAACTTAAGCTAAACGGCGCGTTTTAACTCCACGTTGCTAAAGCTTTGTCCTTCCCTAGCCAGATTCAATTCACCTGTTTCCCAATCTCAATCCAAGCTAGGAACGAGATAGAACTAGACCTGGTGCAGTGCTGCAAAATAAAAATGGCTCAGGGAGTTTTACGTGGCTTCCAGAGCTGAGTAAAAATGTAACTCAGCTCTGACTACTCCACGGACGAGAAATCACTGATTTGTGATTCTCGCCAATTCACTGATTTGTGATTCTCGCCAATTCACTAAGAGTTGTTTCTTTATCGCTCCGAAACTTGTACACTCCACCAACCACACTCGGATGGTTTCTCAAACTAACAGAACAGCTCACACACTCAGCTATCCAGCTACCGTGTCCTCCGACACACACTCTAATACACAGTCACTCCTGATCTTAGTATTAGAGCTCCTTTTCTTGTAGATCGTCACTCACAAAACTCCTCTGTGCTCTTAGACAATCAATTTCCCGAAAAGTGAGTTTCTTCTTCTTCTTTGTGGCCTTTATATCTTCTCTCTGGCTAGCCGTTGGTCATCTAGTCCGCCCACTTCTCCATCATTTGAATTTCTTCCCTTAATTTGTTTTTCCTTGATATGATTCTGCAGCTGTACCCGATCTGTTCCTTCTATATTTGGAAACTCTTCCTCACTGCGAAACCTTGATGTCCAAGGCTTGATTTTCTTCTAACGCCAAAGACTTGACGTGCAAGTTTCCGGTTCATCTTCATGGGTCAATAACTGGCTTTCATTCAACAATCTCCCCCTAAGCCAGTCAATGATCCCTTCAGCAGCTAATGCAGTTCCTGCACACACTCAAACACACGTTACGTGCAGACTGCTCCCAACATATGCAGTTTCGCAAGGTACAAACCGTTTTCATAACAAAAAAGTTTATTCAATAATCAGACACGAATAACCAGACACTGATCTAAAACCAGAAACATTCAGACACATACTCAGGCATGCTGAGAAAAGAAAAGAAACCAGACTCACTCTTAAAGGTCAACTACTACTTTATTCCAACCAGACAAGATCCAAACCAACTAGCTCCCCCTAAGACAGGTGTCCATCCTAGAATTCATAATCTGGTGAAGAAACATAATCAGAGATTCCATCTTCATCTTCCTGCATCTGATTCCTACTGCTACTAGCTTCCCCTTCCTGTCGAAGCATCTCTTGAATGACATCCAAAGGATGCACCAATGGTTGTTTACCATTATCTCTTATCATCCCAGCACGATTGAATGACTCTTGAGCTTCCCTAGAATCATCTTCTCCTAAATCCGCAAGGCTGAGTCCATCCTCGTGAGGAGGAACTGCATGCCCAGCTGCTTCTCCCCCTGGAGCATTGACTAGGGGACGACGACGTTCAACAGACGTATCAACTTTGCGGAGCACAAACTGAGCCTGAAGAGAACTCAGTATGTCTACGCGAGCTACCTTGAAACGCAAATCCAACCCCAAGGCCAGTAGAATCTGCGTTATTTGTGGAGCAAAAGGGAGTTCTCCATCGTAATTGGCATCATGGTAGTTCAGCATGTGATCGAACATGAGGTGAGGATAACTAATGACTCGATTCTCTTTCGCACTCGCGAGGATCCACAGATCCGAGGGGTAGAGAGTATGGAGCCCATGAGATCGCGGTAAAAAAGCCCTTGTGATGTAGAAGTGTAAAACCTTGAGATCATCAGAGAGTCTCCCAGAATGAAAATCAGAAGGGTAATAACGACCAGTATCCCAGAATGAAAATCAGAAGGGTAATTACGATTAGGAAGGATATCACCCCAGCCCATGGAATTGATCAAACGCGGAATATCCATCCCATACCTTTTAAACCTAGAGGGATCCAGAGTGATGGAAGGACATAGGGAACGATCTTGGAATTTTAGCAGATATCGAGCATACCCCGCAGCATCCTCAAATCCTTTCCCATTGAAAATGGCTACTTGAGCCAATCGCACGGAGGCAGCATGTTGTTGAGATCCAGCCATACTTGCTTGAAGAAACACTGGTTGAGTTTTAGTGGGAGAGAACTGTTTGACCGGTGATACGCAAGACAGGATCCTAGGATTTTTATAGGCATGATGAAGACTAAGAAATGGAAGGTCGGGGAGGAATGAGGAAGGTCATAAACATGGAAAGACGTGACCCTAAAGCATAGACGATCTCGAAAGAAAAGAATCCCTGAATTTTTGTTAAGGAAAGTCTTGAGTAATGTCACTTAAGGTAAATAGACCTAACTCTCGACGGGTTTGAAGAAAGATCTCCGATCCCAGAGGCTTTGTGAATATGTCAGCCCATTGAAAATTTGTGGGAACAAACTCAAGATGAATTTTGCCATCTTGGACTAATTCTCGAATGAAATGAAACCGAATTTCTATGTGTTTGGTTTTAGAATGTTGCACAGGATTTTTGGTCATATTGATTGCACTTGTGTTGTCACACAGTACAGGAAGGGAGCCAAATTCTAAACCATAGTCTAGAAGTTGATATTTCATCCACAAGAGTTGTGTGCAACAACATCCAGCAGCAATGTACTCTGCTTCTGCAGTAGACAAGGCCACTGAATTCTGTTTCTTACTGAACCAAGACACCAGAGAAGTCCCCATAAAGTGACAGGTTCCTGAGGTACTTTTCCGATCAACTATGCACCCAGCATAGTCAGAATCAGAGTAGCCGACTAATTCTAGACTCGATTCACAGGAATACCATAGTCCTAATTCCACAGTACCAGCCAAATATCTAAAAATCCTCTTGACAGCTGATAAGTGACTTATTTTTGGTGCATGCTGAAATCTGGCACATACACATACACATAACAGAATATCAGGTCGGCTAGCAGTCACATATAAAAGAGATCCAATTAGCCCCCTATAGAGTTTTTCATTTACAGGAGTTCCTGATTCATCTTTGTCAATTTTTTGAGACGTTGCCATGGGAGTGCAGCAGTTTTCAAGTTACCAAACTCAAAGCGTTTTAGCATATTCAGGATATACTTCGACTGACTTATAAAAATTCCTTTAGACGTCTGTTTTATTTGTAATCCTAGAAAGAAGTTTAACTCACCCATAAGGCTCATTTCAAAATTAGTCTTCATAAGTTTTTCAAATTCTAGACACATGTCATTACTAGTTCCTCCAAAAATAATATCATCAACATACACTTGGACTAGTAACAGATGATCTTTCTTACGTTTAGTGAACAGAGTTTTATCAACAGATCCTCTGTGAAAACCATTGGATAAGAGAATAGAACTCAGCTTATCATACCAAGCTCGGGGTGCCTGTTTTAGACCATACAAAGCCTTTTTTTATCTATACACATGAATTGGATAGTTTGGATCTTCAAAACCAGGTGGTTGAGCTACATAAACTTCTTCTTTCATATCTCCATTTAGGAATACACTCTTAACATCCATTTAATAGAGTTTAATTTTTGAAGCACTAGCAAATGCACATAGCATTCTAACAGCTTCAAGTCGTGCTACGGGAGCAAATGTTTCATCAAAATCTATACCCTCCTCCTGATTGTACCCCTGAGCTACTAGCCTAGATCTATTTCTAGTTATCACCCCTATTCATCTGTTTTATTCTTATAAATCCATTTAGTTCCTATAATAACTCTATTTTCAGGTTTTGGAACAAGTTCCCACACATTTGCTCTTTCAAACTGATGCATTTCATCAAACATAGCAGCAGTCCAAAATTCATCCAACAGAGCTTCTTTAACAGACTTAGGTTCAACCAAGGACACAAAAGCAGTGTGAGATGGCACAACTTTGGATCTAGTGATGATACCTGTTTCCATAGGTCCAATAATTTGTGAAACCGGATGCCTCTTGACAATGTGAGCTGGAGGTTGCATATTGACTGAGGATGAACTTGCTTCTTCCTCATCTCCTGTCGGCAGAAGGCTGTTTTCATTCTCCTTGCTTTTTGAGTTCTGGTTCTGTGAATCAGTATTCAGGTTCTCAGTTCCCTTCTCTTTCAAACATTGATCCTCAGATCCCTTATCTGTGTACACTGTAGAAGGTCTTCCTAGACCGAAATCATCATCATCTGAAATATCTGTAACCTCAATAACAGCTTCATCAAATACCACATTGATGGACTCCTCAACTTTGAGGGTCCGTTTGTTAAAGATCCTATAAGCTTTACTCGAGTTAGAGTATCCTAAGAATACAGCTTCATCAGACTTTGCATCGAATTTTCCTAGGTTATCCTTGGTATTTAAAACAAAACACTTGCATGCAAAAGTACGAAAGTACCCTATATTAGGTTTTCTCCCTTTCCATAGTTCATAGGGTGTTTTGTTTAAGCCAGATCTAATTAATGCTCTATTAACCACATAGCATGCTGTATTAATTGCCTCAGCCCAGAAATATTTTGGAATTCCATAGTCATGTAACATGGTACGAGCAATATCAATTAGGGTCCTGTTTTTTCTTTCAACTACCCCATTTTGTTGAGGGGTTCTAGGAGCTGAGAAGTTATGAAAGATTCCAAGCTCATTACAGAAGGTTTCAAAAGATTCAGATGAGAATTCTCCTCCATGGTTACTCCTAATACTGTAAACTTTTGTCACGTTTTCATTTTCAATTCTTTTGAGTAAAGTCTTAAAATTTTCAAAAGCTTCATCCTTTTTACTTAAAAACAAAACCCATGTAAACCTAGAATAGTAATCTACTACCACAAAGGCATAAGATTTTCCCCCATAGCTTACAATATTAGTAGGTCCAAAAAGATCAAGATGTAACAATTCCAAGGGACGAGATGTGGAAATTACTGGCTTGCTCTTAAAGCTAGATCTAGTTTGTTTCCCTTTAGCACAAGCATCACAAAAGAATTCTCGTTTTTCATTTATCTTAGGCAGCCCTTTTACCAGACCCAACCGAGCTAATTTAGACACTGTGCTCACATTTACATGACCTAACCTCCTATGCCAGTCTTCTTGCAGATTTCTGTCTAGACTGATTAAACAGGTTTCATTAAAACTGTCTTTTTCATTTAAATCGATAGTATAGATCTTACCATTCCTTTTCCCTGTAAACAGAATTTGTTTAGATTTAATATTTTCAACATAGCAACAGTTAGGTTCAAAAATGACTCTACAATCCTTTCCACACATTTGACTGATTGACATAAGATTATGTTTCAAACCTCGAACTAACATAACATTTTTTATAGAAGGACACGAACCTACTTGACCTTTCCCAATTATTTCAGCAGAGTTGTTATCACCAAAGAGTACTTTACCAAACTTACCTTGTTCAAGACTTGAAAATAAATGTTGGTTACCTGTCATGTGATGTGGACAACCACTATCCATGATCCATTTAGATGTCTCCATGCACACTTGAAGACAACTCTGAGTGGACTGATGAATTTCGGGCACTCCTTCATCATCTTCTGTTCCTTCAGCTACTGCCATGAATGACCTATGCACAATCACTTCATCTTTTTCTTCTCCTTCATCCTCACTTCCACTCCAAGTAGCTGCATATGCTTTTTCTCGTTTAAGCAGAGGACATTCTGCTTTGATGTGCCCCGATCGTCCACATTTGAAACATCCAGTAGATCCAATACCCTTTGGATAGACATCATTTATGGTTTTCGTGAATGTTCAAGACTGACTGAATTTACCCGCTCCATCATTTCTATCAGCTTCTTTAACCTTGGATCCTCCCATCTTCTTCTCCTTTCGAATTCTTAACAACCGACTTATCTGCTTGCTTAACAATGCTAGTTCCTCATCTTCCATGTCATCTAGTTCTTCTGATTCCTCTGTCACACTGATAGCTTTAAAGGCGATCCCCTTTTTACCTTTATCACTGCTATCTGACCCGCCTTTCACTAGTTTATCCTCATGCGTGGTCAAAGACCCAATCAGTTCATCAATAGCAAGATTTTCAAGGTCTTTTGCTTCCTAAATAACTGTTACCTTAGGATTCCATTTATCAGGTAGACACCACAATATCTTTCTTACAAGATCTCCACTCTCATATGTCTTCCCTAGATTTTCCAAACTGTTTACAATGTTTGTAAACCTCTCATACATCTGTAGTATTGTTTCCCCTTCTTCCATCTTGAATAGCTCAAATTGATTTTTAAGAGAATTAATTCTGGAGGTTTTAACTTGAGATGTACCTTCATACGTGACCTGAAGCTTATCCCAGATTTCCTTTGCTGTCTTGCACCCAGCAACCTTGTGATATTCTTCTGGACCCAAGGCACAATACATCAAGTTGATTGCCTTGCAATTCTGCTGAAATTTTTCGTAATCCTCATCGCTCCACTTCTCTTGATCCGCTTTAAGCTCATATGGCCCTTTGATTACTCTAGCCCACAGCTTCGGGTCTGTTGAACCAACAAACAACTCCATTCTATTCTTCCAGTAACCATAATTTACCCCTTCAAACCGCGGTGGACGATTTTGTGAAAATCCATCCGCAAGATATAATGGAGCTGCGCTTGACGATCCTGACGCCATTCTGAATCTCGCCTGGGTTGTAAAACTTGTTTGATCAGCAACCGTGCTCTGATACCACGTGTTAGCAGGCGTCGAGCGCGAGATGCCTCCTTCTCCTCCAATCTTTGATCTCCCCTGAAAACCCTAACTCTACCTTCTGCTAAGAACAAGATCGATCAAACTGACACCAAATGAAAAAAACGAAAATATAAAATAATCACATATAGGATAATGTAACTGATCTGTGAGTTCCAGTTGGGCCCAAATACTCAAGCCCAATTTCTCCAAGTCTATAGATTTGGCCTGTTGAAATAGCTTAAGCAACTTAAGCTAAACGACGCATTTTAACTCCACGTTGCTAAAGCTTTATCCTTCCCTAGCCAGATTCAATTCACCTGTTTCCCAATCTCAATCCAAGCTAGGAACGAGATAGAACTAGACCTGGTGCAGTGCTGCAAAATAAAAATGGCTCAGTGAGTTTTACGTGGTTTCCAGAGCTGAGTAAAAATGTAACTCAGCTCTGACTACTCCACGGACGAGAAATCACTGATTTGTGATTCTCGCCAATTCACTAAGAGTTGT